CGTTTCATCGGGGAGCTCCTGGAGCGGCCCGCCCGCGCCGAACGCCAGCTGCAGGTCATCAGCAGCAGCTGTGGCAGCACGCCCAGTGCCAGCCTGGGCCGCGGAGGTGGGGGCAGTGGCGCGGGGCCTGGGGCCAGGGGCCCAGGCAGAATGGTGAGTTCTACTTGCCCTCCCTCCACCTGCACACCGCCCCCCTCCCCAGGGCCTGGTAGCTCCCCCTATAGTGCTCCATGCTTCCCTCCTCTGGCTCTTCCCCCGCGAGCAGACTCCAGGCCGGAAGTGAGGCTCTGGGAGCAGGGGAGCCCCTGTGGTTGGACAGGTGTGCTGACCCCTGAGCTGTAGTGAGGTGTGACCCAGCAGCCCTGGCCCTCAGGGGCCCATCTCTGTCCATTCCTGCAAATGAGAGCCCGGGAGCCACACACTAGGGCCTGGGTGTTGGGCGGGTGTGTGTTGGGGGTTGGGAAAGCCTGCCTCTCTGGGCTGTCTGTCTGCTGTCCACTCGTCCATCTTTCCCAACCTTTTTCCTTCTCTCTCCTCTCTCTCCTCTCTTCTCTCCATCTTTGCCCTGTTTCTTCTGCTGTTGCCTCCTCATCCTCTTGTCTCCCTTCCTCCCTTCCTGTCCCTCCTGCTCTGGGGGCCCACAGCGAGAACACCACGTGGGCCCGGCTGTGCCTGGCACATACGCCGTGTCCCGGCATGGCTCCTCTCCCAGCACAGGGTAAGCCTCGGGCCTGGCCCACCCCTCACAGCCCTTTCCCACCCTGGAAAGATTTTCTCGCCTGTTGGGGCCTTGCTTCTTCCTCCTCTTCCCATCCTCCTTGGGTTGCCTGTGTCTGCCTTTCCACACTCAGAGGGGGTGTTCAGAAAGCAGGGTGGAGGGTTGCCCTTAGCTGGTGGTTGGGGCAAGTAGGGAGTTTGGGCGAGCCTGATGACCCTCACCCTTATTACTGGCCCCCCTGCCCCAGGGCCTCCAGCCGCATGCCAGCTGCATCCCAGAGCTCAGGCTGCTATGACAGTGACAGTCTGGAGCTGCCCCGGCCAGAGGAGGGGGCTCCAGAGGACAGTGGCCCTGGGGGCTTGGGTACCCGGGCCCAGGCTGCCAATGGTGGCTCAGAGCGGTCCCAGCCCCCTCGCAGCGCAGGACTGCGGCGCCAGGCCATCCAGAACTGGCAGCGCAGACCCCGCCGACACAGCACCGAGGGGGAGGAAGGAGACGTCTCAGACGTGGGCTCCCGAACCACCGAGTCAGAAGCAGAGGGCCCCTCAGATAACCCCCGCTCCGGGCCTGCGATGGCCGGGCCACTGAGCAGCTGCCGGCTCTCAGGTATGTGCTAGGAGGGCAGAGAGGCCAGCCTTTCCCACGTACAGGCCCTCTCAGGGGACATGGCACTGAGGGCTCCTGCACCCCCTTTCCCTTTCCTAGACTTGCCCACCCCTGCTACGCAGGAGGACAGGGATGCAGGGGCATAGCGGTGCTCAGGTTATCTGCTGTACAGCAATGCCACGTCAAAGCGGCCATTTCTAGGGTGGGCTCATTAACATGTATAGGAGAGTAGTTGAGGGTCGACCCTAGGAGCCCCTGCTGCAGTGGGGGAGAGCCCCATCGCATAGTCACACACAGGGCAGCACCTATGTGGGCGGGTTAGGAGGTGAAAGGGCCAGGACTGCAACCATGCCCCATTGACTGTCCCCCCCTCACTGCCTTCTGCTCCCAGAGGCCCAGTTTGTGCCTAACCCTCCGCCCCCACTCCCACTCCTTTCCTTCCCCAACCTGACTCAGCTGCCTAATGCAGTGGACAAGTTCGGACTGTTTGACAATACACACTATGGTATATGACCTTAAAAAGAAAGGTTATGTGAAAATTAGGGGTTGGGGTACTGTCGAGGAGGGAAAGGCAGGAGCCCCTCATCCTTCCTCCCAAGGCACTGGTCCCCACCCTGGTCTCTCATGCCCATTCCTCCTGTAGCTTCTGCTTTGCCCCAAATCCACACTGATACCCACACCCTGGCCTTTGACCCTTCATGCTCGCCTTTGATCCTCTGGTATTCTGTAGCCCGCTCTGAGGGAGGCAGTGGTCGGGGTCGGCGAGCTGAGAGGGGTAGCCCCTCACGTTCCAATGAGGTCATCAGCCCGGAGATCCTCAAGATGCGAGCTGCCCTCTTCTGCATCTTCACCTACCTGGACACACGCACCCTGCTGCACGCCGCCGAGGTCTGCCGGGACTGGCGCTTTGTGGCCCGCCACCCTGCCGTCTGGACCAGGGTGCTGCTTGAGAATGCCCGCGTTTGCTCCAAGGTGCCCCACCTACCACCCCCACCCTGCTGCCAACCCACCTTTTCCCCTGGCAGAATCCAGCCCCTCGAGGTCTGGTCCCAGCAGCCCTTATCACACCCCTGCTGCAAACCAGCTCCCTGACATGCTCTCATGGGGCCTCTCCTCCTGGGCTGTCTCACCTCCAGCCACCCAAACTCTCACCTCTCATCTACGAATCATCCCCATCTCCCCGCAGTTCCTGGCCATGCTGGCTCAATGGTGCACCCAGGCCCACTCACTGACCCTGCAGAACCTGAAGCCTCGGCAGCGGGGGAAGAAGGAGAGCAAGGAGGAGTATGCCCGGAGCACCCGGTGAGGCCTGCAGACAGTGGGTGGCTGGGTGCTCCTAGGCCACAGACGTGGAATTAAGTGGGGTGTGTCTCAGAGGAGGTGCCCACAAGCAGCTGCCTGACCTCACGGTCATCCCCAGGGGCTGCCTTGAAGCGGGGCTGGAGTCCCTGCTGAAGGCAGCCGGGGGAAACCTGCTGATCCTGCGCATCTCCCACTGTCCCAACATCCTCACTGACCGTTCGCTCTGGCTGGCCAGCTGCTACTGCCGCGCCCTGCAGGCTGTTACCTACAGGTAGGTCCACCCAGCCATGCCCTGTTGGCCGGGGGCCCCCAGGGATCCATAGGCACTGCATCGCCTTTCCCCAGGGTTCTTGGGTGAAGGGACCCAAGAGTTCTGCGACCCAGGGTGGGCGACTCTAGCTTTGTCTTTTTAACAGGAGTGCCACAGACCCCGTGGGCCATGAGGTCATTTGGGCCCTGGGCGCAGGCTGCAGAGAGATCGTCTCCCTCCAGGTGGCACCACTTCACCCCTGGTGAGCCCTGGCAGGGGTCGGGCAGAAGGGTACATGGTGGGGCCAGCCTCGCTTGGGGCTGAGAACTGAGCAGCTCTGAGACCATCCTACAAACAGGAACCGTCACACACACTCCTCTGTGCAGTGAGTGGTTAGGAGCAGAGCTTTCACCAGACCTGAGCTCACATCCTAACCGCACTGGCAGTGTCACTTGGGGCAACCAAATCATGACAGTTTCTCAGCGTTCAAAGTGAAGGTGATGTCAGGAATCTGTTGACCTTGTTAGGCCTGTTGCTGGCTGGAAGGAGGTAATGCACACAAAGCCGCAGGGCCCATAGTAAGTGTTCAGTACATTCTAGCTAAAGGTAGCCAGACTGGATGGGGACATGACAGGCAGTTCAGGGAGGTCCGTGTGTAGCACACAGCAGAGCCGGGTGTTGGAGAACCTGGGGTGTGCAGCCATTCTCTGCCCTACTGGAAATTCCTCTACCATGCTCGACTTCCACTCCTGCACCTTTCCCTCCACGTCCTCGCTCCCCGTGACATCCCCTCCCAGGCATCGGCATGCCCTTGATCATTCTCCGGGTCACTGCTCCCCACCTCGATTCCCGCTGCACCCAGTCCTGGCCCAGCTGTCATCCTTTCTGCAATAATTCTCTATTTTCCGCGTCCACCAGACTGGCGATTCTCAGGAGAGTCTGTGAGCGGCCATTTCCACATTCCTGGAACTGAGGGTAGAATAGACGCCAGAGATGTCTGTTGGCTTAGTCAGGGTTGAGGGATGAAGTGTCAGGGGAATGGCAAGTGTGGTGTGAGCGGGGCAAGACTGGAAGGAGGGCTAGATCCAAGTCAGGAAGGGCCTTGCTAAGGAGGTTATTTAGGTTTTTGCATTTGATTAGACAGTTTTGGGAAATTACTGGAGGGTTGTAGATTTTAAGAGATTAAGATCAAAGTGGTGGGACCGGCAGATGGCATAGTGGTTAAGGCGCTAGACTTCCACATGGCTGACCACAGTTTGAGTCCCGGACCCAGCAGCTTGAAACTCACACTGGGTGTGCGTGTGCTCACAATCCTGAAAGGAGAATGCAGAGGGACTGTGGCATGGCCATGCCCCCTTGGGGGTGATCTCTCTCTTTCTCTCTGTCTGGCCCGTGCACATGCCTTATAGCAAAAATCTCTAAAAATCAACAACGACAAAAAAATCAGTTGTAGGACCAGCAGTTAGCGTAATGGCTATGTCGCTGGACTCCCATGTAGTTGACCACAGTTCGTGTCCCAGACCTGGTGGCTTAAAACTCACACCGGGCGTGTGTGCGTGCATGCCCAAGATCCCAAGAGGAGAATGGAGGAGAAGGGATTGCGTTGTGGCCATCCCCCTTGGGGGGGTGATTTCTCACTTTCTGTCTCTGTGTCTCTCTGGTGAGCGTACGCGCCCTATAGCAAAAAACTCTCAAAAAAAATAAAAAATCAGTTGTAATGTTCTGTGTCTCCCCACCCAGTAGACTGTCCACTCCCTGAGGTCAGGGACCATCGCTGTGTTGTCACCAGTGTGTCCTGCAGGCCCAGTTTGGCTTTTCTTGGTGATAATAGACACTTGATAACCATCCCCTGAATGACAGCAGGAGTGAATGGAGGAGTGCATGGCCCATTGTCAGCTGCGTGGGGAACGAACTGGCAGGGAGACTAGTTATAACCCAGACCGAGTGTTCACAGTGGTCTGAACTGTGTATTCTGGAGTCAGGAATGGGAGTCTCAGCCGAAGGCGAGGGAGGGGCGAGCTAAGAGTGCTCCCAGTTTTCATTTTTAAAAATATTTTATTTATTGTTATTTTTTCATTTGACCAGAGAGAGACAGAGAGAAAGAAAGGGAAAGTGAGACAGTGAGCCACCAGGTCTGTGACTCAGACCACGGTTGGCCATGTGGGAGTCCAGCACCTTAACTGCCACGCCACCGGCCAGCGCCTCCCAGTTTTCTGACTTGAGCAGCTGAGTTGTGGGTAGGACACTTGCCTGATGCAGGGAGGGCTCTCAGGGAAGGAGCACGCTCTGGCTGTCAGGATTCCAGAGGCTTCCCTGACGACCCCCTCCCCTTCTCCAGCCACCAGCCCACCCGCCTCAC